ATTTTCCTTATGACTACTCTATGAACTAAGAAGGATGTACAGTGCGTACACATTTTGTATTTCAGAGTTTCTTTTTTGTATGGGTAATTTGCTAGGATGGAATGTTTGTGAAGTTAACTTGGGTAACGGTATAGCATTTTGTATTTTGAAATCCATTAGGACATGTGTTGATTGAAACTCTCCCGTCAGTACTTGGTGTTTATACCAGCCCTACGAATCTTTACTTTGATACCACTCTCAAAACCCTGGGACAGACCCAGATCAGGTTGCAGTAAAAATGTATAATACTGTGCTGGCAACCAATAAATCTGGTGTTGCAGATGAACTGAGCAGTCACTGAGCAGAAGCTTTTGAAACCACGACAGTTACATTTGCTTTGGGCATAGGACTGATCTGATGGAATTTTAAAGGTGCTGCCTGGAACCCAGAGCACCCAGCTTTACAGAGACCTAGCATGTATAGAAATATAAGATCTTGTGGCCTTTGAAGAGTTCAGAAATCTTTCATTTCACAGTCTCAAAAAGAATGTGTGTTCATTGATCCAGTTGCTACTGCTTAAAAACTATTTTTCAACTTTATTTGTCTCCATTGTCTGCGTATACTCGTTTAGAAATAACATAAGGTCAAAAAATTATTAAATTATATATCATAACTGTAGCTATATTGGTATATATTAGGTGCTAAACATTCATTTGACAGTAGTGCATATTTTTCAGATGTTTCTTTTGCAATATTTGAGAAGCTTGTTTTATGAAGAAGCTAAAAGTCTCAGGATGTGTCTACATCAGCATTTTGGTTAATCAGAATCCCACTCCTGAAGCAGTTGCCCCCACTTGCTTGGCTGTGGTTCATGTTGTGGAGCAGACTGGGAGTGCGAGACCGGGACTGCTTCAGGAAGATGTAGTGCAAGGATTACCTTTACAGAAACCCTTACTAAGGTCTTGCTCGTACTGACAGTTCAGTCCTTGGGGCTATACTGGAGTAAATGGGGCAATAAACCCCCTTGAAGCAGCAAGGGGCTTCAGCATCAATTGTTGGGGCTATTCGCTAATGTATATATAGATAAATCCTGTGAGGATCCTGGGCTTTCATCTCCATGAGGAAAAAAACAAAACCCTGTGCTTCACGATGAGGTTCAAGATCTTCTCTTTGGTGCTACCACATGAGTTATAGAATCATAGAATTGTCTAGGTTGGAAGAGACCTTTAAGATCATCTAGTTCAACTATCCAACCTAACTCTGATAAAAAACCATCACTAACCCATGGTACTAAGCTCTATGTCAACCCATCTTTTAAATACCTCCAGGGATGGTGCCTCAACTGCTTCCCCAGGCAGCCCATTCCAAGGCTTAATAACCCTTTCAGTATAAACATTTTTCCCAATATCCAATCTGAACTTTCCCTGGTGCAACTTGAGGCCATTTCCTCTTGTCCTTTCGCCTGTGACTTGGGAGAAGAGACCGACCCCCACTTCTACACCCTCCTTTCAGGGAGTTGTAGAGAGTGAGAAGGTCTCCCCTCATCCTCCTCTTCTCCAGGCTGAACAACCCCAGCTCCCTCAGCCTCTCCTCATAAGACTTACTCTCCAGACCCCTCACCAGCTTCATTGCCCTTCTCTGGACCTGCTCCAGCACCTCAATGTCTTTTTTGTGGTGAGGGGCCCAAAACGACACAGCACTCGAGGTGGGGTCTCACCAGTGCCGAGTACAGGGGGACAATCACCTCTCGGGCCCTACTCACCACACTGTTCCTGATACAGGCCAGGATGCTGTTGGCCTTCTTGGCCACCTGGGCACACTGCCAGCTCATGTTCAGCCGACAGGTGACCAACACCCCCAGGTCCTTTTCCACCAGGCAGCTCCTCAGCCATTCTTCCCCAAGCCTGTAGCGCTGTAGGGGGTTGTTGTGACCCAAGTGCAGGACCCAACACTTGGCCTTGTTGAACCTCACTGCATTGGCCTTTGTCCATCTATCCTCTGTCCAGATCCCTCTGCAAAACCTTTCTACCCTCATACTGTATTTGTGTGCTTTCACACAGCGTCGAGTGGGCTTCTGTGGGGTCAAAGAGCACCTGCACATGGGCATTAGCAATCCCTTGTTGTTACTGTCACCAAAAAATACTAACCTTGAGCTTACCAGCACAGCCTCACAGCAGGCTTACGTTACAGCTGTTCATGTGCTTTAAGCTGCAGAAAAAAAAAATCAGAATAAAACCACCTTTCTCTGAATTTACACCAGCGCTGGGCAAGCTGCAGTCTCTAAAGATATCTTCAGCTTTCTTACAGCAATAGGGAAAGGGACTTTTGGCTGACAACTTAGATCAAATTACCTTATGTCCTCCACTTTAGCTGTTTGTTCTGTAGAAGCAGGACTGTTGAAGAGCAAAAAGGTTAGCGCTTAGGTGGCTCAATACCTGATCTTGCAAATGCAGCAGGTAATTAAACACTGGGCTTCCTGATGTCCTGGGTGAGCGTGCAAGCACCAGCTTGTCCGTGAGTGTGCAGAAATTTCCTATGAACCATTAACTACAGAACAAGAGTCTTCTGTAGACCACAATTATAAGTAAGTAAAATCAAATCCTCAGTACTTCAAAACAACTAGTGTGTAAAGCTCAGGATTTGGGAAAAAGTCTTCCACTAGATGTTTTCACAAACTGAAATTAAGTATTAAAGATGTTTGCTTCTAAGGGAAGGTCCTGGCTGAAGGTGCCCCCCAATGCCTTCAAACAAGTCTGGGAGCACTGTAATGTTGACACACAAGAAAGAGGAAACTGTATTCTCTGTCTCTGTGGGATGATGATGCCTGGTCAGTGCCTATTGATTTTCTGTACGATTCCTTTTATTTTTATTTCAAAAGAAGACGAGAAGACGACGAGTTTTTATGCTGCTTTTAAACCTGTATCACAGTTCACTGTGTCACTGCTGAAATAATTCCTTTTATTTCAAGAGAAGACGAGAAGGGGAGCGATGAGTTTTTATGCTGCTTTTAAACCCGTATCACAGTTCACTGTGTCACTGCTGAAATCTTATGGACAGCTGAGATTTGTTGGCAATGGGTGACAGATAATTTGCAGAAACGGTAGGCGAGGAGGTACCCTCCTCTCATGTTTAGAAGAAAACGTTCAGCTCTTGGATAGGACAGTGCGGCTGTCATTATGTGGTGTCTCCTCAAGGGCAGGATGGGATTTAAATGAAGGCAATGTGGGATGTTGAGACCTGCCATGAGAGAGTGCTTGTGGCCTTTGCTTAATCTTACGGGCAGCTGAGATTTGTTGGCAATGGGTGACAGATAATTTGCAGAAACGGTAGGCGAGGAGGTACCCTCCTCTCATGTTTAGAAGAAAACGTTCAGCTCTTGGATAGGACAGTGCAGCTGTCATTATGTGGTGTCTCCTCAAGGGCAGGATGGGATTTAAATGAAGGCAATGTGGGATGTTGAGACCTGCCATGAGAGAGTGCTTGTGGCCTTTGCTTATTGTTATAGTCAGTTAGGATTATGATTATAGAATCATCATAGAATTTTCTGGGTTGGAAGGGACCTTTCAGATCATCTAGCCCGGCCATCAACCTTACACTGCCAAAAGCCAGCACTAAGCCATATCTCTAAACACTATGTCTACCCACATTTTAAATACTGCCAGGTTATTTATTATCAGTATTGTTATAAAAGTGTAAGTCTTAATATGAACCCAGACCAATCTGTCTAATTTTCCTGTGCACAGGGGTAGGGTGTGTAGGGCACATCCCACTGAAAGGGTTGTGTCTGCAGGTGGACACCTCTGCTGCTTTAACTGTTTTCTATGATTGCCTTTTCTATCCTGGAGCTGAAGGTGAAGGTGAGGTGTAGTCCAGGGTGTTACAATCTGCTTTAGCTTCTCCAGCTGTGTTTTAGTCAGTGCCGGTTTACTTGAGCCCGAATGAGCTCTCATTTTAGGTTTCACATTGTTCTTCAAAGAACTGGCTTTAAAGATTAATTAGGGCAGGGGGGGAGAGAGAGTGTGTGCCTGCAAGGGAAAAATGTGACTGTGAACCTAGCATTAGAGCACTGACCTGAAAGGAGGGAGAGAGGAAGGAAGGAGAGGTTTGAAAAGCGTTCATGGTGGATTCTTTGAAGAGTGAGTATGACTGTTCTCTCCTCTGAGGGAGGAATATAGAGATAATGTTGTATGTGTGCTTGCTGAGGTACTGTGTAATTACACCAGGGGATTAGCAGCCAGGTTCCAGTCGTGTAGACGCTAACAGCTGCATCTCGTCCGATTTAGCATGGATGCACATCCGGAGAAGGATCATCCTTCTAAATTGTATTGGAGAAGAAACACTAGTGTGGTGATTTGCCGTCACCCACACAGCAGCCTACAGTAGCTGGTGCGTGTAACAGGCCTGTTTGAGCACGGAGATTCACTACTGAAGGTCACAGCAGCAGCGTGTCTGCCGTGGAGCTGGGGCTGCTCAAGTCATCAGCCTCACGTGAGATGGGGATTTGAATCAAAGGGAGCTCCCTGCTGGGCTGGTGAACGCAAAATGAAGTGGGGAGATACAGGTGTTGGCAACTCCAGCTGCAGTTCTCATCATTCTGACTGGAATATTTTTTTTCCTACAACTTCCAAAGCAGCTTTTTCTCTAGAGCATCATTGCTGCAGTGATAACTGATTGCGTTATATTTTTCTCATATCTGTTCTTAAGCTCGCAGAAGTATCAGAAAGATGTAAGGGATTTCAGGGGGAGGGGGGCAGATGGGGAGAAAAGATGATAAATCTGAAATGGTAAATAACTATTTTGAAATATTTACTTCATCTGTGGATTGAGACAAGAAGTAATTTCTTTCCTTTGCAGCAGAAGAGAGCTTTCAGCGTGGGTTCCTACCCTTCGGTTGTTCACCCTGTGGACTATTGTGTATTAAAAGGAAGCATGTTTTTGCTGCATAGCCCAGATGATTGCATGGGAAACAGCTTGGTTTATGGCATAATGTTTTTTGTTTAATACCTTCTTTATTCCAACAGGAAATATGGGATGTATAAAATCAAAAAGGAAAGAGAATCAGCATGGAGATGGGCTAGATTTGAAGAATCAACCAGTACGTAAAACTGAACGAACTATTTATGTGAGGGATCCAACGTCCAATAAACAGCAAAGGCCAGTAAGTAGATAGTCTCAGGGGAGAATTCCAGTAGCAAGATCAAAGCATGACTGGCATAACTTAAATTTCAATCCAAAGCACATGCATGGAGAAATTCAAATGATCATTAGTACACAATTGGGCTCTTAGTGTTGTGCACTTCACCCTCAATGAATAATTACTTAAAGAAATAAAAAATAAGAATTGATGATTTGTTACTTAATTACTTTGTTATGTTTGTCATAGTTTTCTGCATGAAAACTGTAATTCTTCTTGGGGATGTTTGATCTAGATGTAGCTACATCTGTAGAAGAATGCTAGGTGACTTTAGAAAACCTGAAGTAGTTTAAAACCGCTTTTAAAAGCATCGGAGTTGGGTTTTTAATAGCCGTGGGATCCAGTTGTTGATTATTCTATTTTAAAAGGCTGAGATAATTACGGGTGATTCTTTACCAGCTCTAGTCAACTTTCCTTTCACTCCCTGAAGGCCAGTACTCCATGTGGCACCAGGGGTGTAGGTAAGGACAGGAGGGTGCAGGGAGCAGAGCTGTGCTGCAGGACGAACGACCTGCTGGTGTCCTGTGTGTGCTGCTTGGCGTCGGAAAGGAGGGGGAACCCATCGGGTACCAAGTGGATTTGCTATTTTGCAGATTGACTGGTACCTTTTTTCCGTGCCTTTGTGGGTGCGAGGGACACCCTTCTCTCCCCTCTCACCAGGTGACGTGGTGGGATCGGTGGACTCTCAGTCAACCTACACACGTCACAGACTACCATTTGCATATTTTTTTTTAAATTACTTCTTGTGTCTGGCACAATCTGGGCAGTATAACTGCATTTTTAGTTCTTTAGCATGACCTGTGACTGTCCTGTCCCAGAGCCCTGCATAAATCCTCATCAGCAGAAGTCACAAAGCTGGGAGCTTCCTCCCCCCCCAGCTTGTGTCACACCTGCCTGAGGTCTGAGCTGCTCAATTCAAAATCTAGTGGGGACTTGCTGTGTTTTCATCTTTCGAAGAATGGTGGGGAAAAGATTGGAGCATTTCCTTTTAATTTATGACATAGAAGATGATACCAAGTATAACCTGATGATACCAAGATGATCACCTGAGTAATATGTCATTGTAATGTTAGATCGTCACAAAGATCTAAAACTGCTTAATTAAAGACATGTTTTATTGTAGGCGAACCAGGAAGCACAGCTCTTACCAGGACAGAGGTTTGTCACCGAAGGTATGTTGTCATGGTACTCTCACTGCTGTGTTCTGTGCCCCCCTCACCCCGTGAAATAATGCAAACCCGCCTTTGGCTTTTATGCCTTCGTAGATACAGAGGAGCACGGAGTCATTGTGGTGGCTTTGTACCCCTATGACGGCATTCACGAAGATGACCTGTCCTTCAAAAAAGGAGAAAAACTGAAAGTTATTGAAGAGTAAGTATGACATTACTGATTGTATTGTAGTTTTTCTTTGGACTCATCTAATTCCCTTCATAATTTTTTTGATATCCTACTCACAATGTGACTGCATTAATGGTTAGAGAGCTCCCCTATGTGTGGACACACAAATGCATGTGTAGTTGCTGTTAGGACTTGGCAGCTGCCCTTGGTAATAGCGACCAGACATTGATCTGGTGGAGCCCATGGCTTCTAAGGGGGCTTGAGTTCAGGGGAAAGATGCTGCTTCTCCCCCCAGTGTGGGCAAGGCTCTCAGCACAGTAGAACCCAAATAACACTTTATAATTTTCCTTTCTAATAGCGACCAGACATTGATCTGGTGGAGCCCATGGCTTCTAAGGGGGCTTGAGTTCAGGGGAAAGATGCTGCTTCTCTCTCCAGTGCAGGCAAAGCTCTCAGCACAGTAGAACCCAAATAACACTTTATAATTTTCCTTTCCTGTGCATACGAGCGTTGTTTCTGTTTTTCAGGCTGGGAGAATGGTGGAGGGCAAAGTCTCTCACCACGAGGAAGGAAGGATTCATTCCCAGCAACTACGTAGCAAAAGTAAACACCTTGGAAACAGAAGAGTGAGTTCTCCCAGGCTCTAAATCCTGGCACCTCTTCACCCTGGTGGTGGATCCTTTGTGGGTGGGGGAAAGAAAGGGTTCTAACTTTTTGAAATCTTTTTCAGATGGTTCTTCAAAGACATAACCCGAAAAGATGCCGAAAGACAACTCCTGGCTCCTGGAAATAGTCCTGGATCTTTCCTTATCAGGGAAAGTGAAACATTAAAAGGTAGGCTTCGGGCTGGGTTAATTTGGGATTGATAGTAGAGTTAAAAATGTACAGTCTGTCTTCACAAAAATTGGCATTAAGTGGCACTGTGTGTGGGGTAGTCCTGGAGTGTCCTATTGTGTGAATGCTCTGCAGTTCTGTAGGAGTGAGAAGGAGGAGAAAATCCCAAAGAAAAGAGAGTACAACCCAAAGTTGAGATTACACTGACAAGATGCAAGAATGAATGGGGACATCTTTTCCCTTCCTAGCATTTGTGATTCCTTTACTGAAGGACACTTTTCATTGTAAACAGTAGATGCTGCATTTTATGATCTTCCATTATTGGGTCTGTGTCCACTGCTACAAGTTTTAAAATGTAGTTAGTGCATAATGAGGGGTTTACACTTCTGCAGTGTAGTGGGATTTTTTTCCAAAAGGTTTTTTTGGTAAAGGCTTCTGCTGTAGACAGAGCTCCTTGTACTGAAAAGCTGAGTGAAGTCTCCAGGCTCTTTGGCTGGGACTTTCAGAAAAATGTTTACTGAATTTCACTGAATTTTTAGAGTTGAAAGGGACCATAGAGATCATCTAGTCCAACTCCCCTGCTAAAGCAGGATTGCCTAGAGCTTGTACTGAATTTCACTGAATTAGGAGGTTAGGAGGTTCTGCCCCAGCGTCTGACAGCTGACAGCAGCCTGACTGCGTTCTCCAGCTGGGTACTCCAATACTGCATCCTCCAGAGGAAGGTGCATGAATCCCTTCAGCATAGTGTATGTCTGTCCTCGCCACAGGGGTAGATTTTCTGGCCCTAACAGATTCTTTATTAGGTAGCTCTCTGTAATGGGCCCATATCGCTGTTTCTGTGCTCTCAGATGAAGACTCCTAAATGAAGTTCTCAATGGAAGACTCCTAAATTCAACATAGGCTACTGAGACTAAGGCAAAGTACCCCCAAAATATTTATTTCTATCTCCTCCTGTCACTGGATCTGTGTGTGGGGAGGGAGAAGGCGGTGAGGTGGTTTCTTATCCTTCGAAAATGGACAAGAAGAATTGTGCAAGTCAAAGCAAAGAGCTCTGTAGTTTAGGATAGATGCTCTGCGGCCCCATCTTAAATCCCAGCTGAGGTCAGGCTCTGTGGGACTAACAGATCTGCCCTCCCTCCCGTGTGCCTCAAGCCATCTCCAAGCTATCCTTTTGCTTGGCCCATGACACCCAGCGTGTTCCTCTTCCGAAATTCCGAAATCTCTGAATTCCAGCTTCTGCCTGAGGAGTGTGACAGCCCTGGCCTTGCTTTCCCAGCCAGTTCCACTCGAGTTGGGGGGACTTTCTGCAGCTGTGGGTGTTGGACGTGGAGCTGTCTGCCTGATGGAACTCCTAACTTTGTTGAATAAGATTGAAAAAGAAAGTGTGACTGTAAGCATTTTGGTGACCGGTTCAGGACCGGCTATTGGCCAACTTCCTCCTGTTGGTTGCAAAATGCTTTTTGAGGAAATAAGGGACTAAAAAACAGACAGAAAGGTGATTTTTGTTAGGCTCAACTGTGTATGTGTGGACACTGTAGACCTTTGCTGTCTTTTAATGATCGTTGTTTCTTTATCCACAGGAAGCTATTCTCTCTCCATAAGAGACTATGATCCACAGCACGGCGACGTTATTAAGCACTACAAAATTAGGAGTCTAGACAATGGAGGATTTTACATCTCTCCAAGAATAACTTTTCCCAACATCAATGATATGATCAAACATTATCAAAGTAAGTTAAATCGGTTAGTGGATTACTTAATAGAATAAAGCCATTATTTCCTGGGAAGGAAAAGATATGCTTTCTTGTTTTGTTTCAAACCTTTTCATCTTTTTTTTTTGTTTGTTTTTTCTAAGTAAGGCGGGCATGCATGTTATCAAAGATAAAGCAAAACTGGTTGGAACCCAAGTAACGTTATCATGATCAGACCTAACGCCGCTTGCTCTGCGGTGTGCCATTGTGAAATAAAGAATAGCTTTATAAAACACTTCATCAAAGTTTAGATGATGTGAAACTACAGTGAGAATTGACTGCATTGGAAATAAATGAATTCTGTATTCGGAAATAAATTAGTATTCAATATTCACAATGAGCAGAAATACATATAGATTTATGAATATCTTCTTGTGGTGGTGTGTGGAATTGTTTTTATTTTTCCTGTCATTTTTTTGGTTGGTTGGTTGGTTTGTTTATTTATTGTAAATGTCATTTTGAAGGAAGTAGAAGTCCATTGACTTCAAAGAAAGAAAATCGCACCCGCATAGAATCTATACATTTATTTAAAAAAAAATAGGGGAAGGGGGAGGAAGGGGCAGGTTTCTTACATATGTTTTAGCTACAGAAGTGACTCTTCATTCTGTAAAACTTCCTGTTGGATAGCTCCAAAATATGTGGTTTTAGTCTTGCAACTGACAAGACAGAGGAGATGAAAAACATAGGACAGAAAATCACATAGTGATTTATCAAAGCCAAGCTGAGGACTTGGCCATGAGGTTTCTCTGAGCTGTTGGACATGTGTGGTAATTATTTGGCACAGCCGGAAAACCTAAGAATTATTCTACATTTGTATTGAAGTTGTGGCTGGTCTGTGTCTGGAGAAAAAAAAATAATCACGACCTACTTATGCTTCCATGCACATGTGTCTGAAACGATGCTCTAAGAAATTTAATGACAAATTCAGAATACAGCTTCCAAGCCTGACTCCAGTGTGCATCTTTATCAACATACTGACAGCACACAGATCTTATATTTTATTTAGTTGGTATGAATTGTACTAAAAAAACCCTTATTAATCTGATGGTAACCAGATGCGTGTGACACTTCTTTATTAAATTTCTCTCTGAATACCAAATTTCAATTCAGAGGTGCTTAAAGTTTCATGGAAGCACCAGAAAGGTTACATTTTCATCAAAACAGCTGATTACTTTGAAAATTATTTTGAGCTGGTTGGTGCACACCTGCAATTAAGAAATGTTTGTCTCAAGTCATGGGACACAGAAGTGTAACAAATTTTGTGTTTTATTTTCCCTTTGAAAAACAGAGCAATCAGATGGCTTATGCAGAAAGTTGGAAAAAGCCTGTATTAGTCCCAAGCCTCAAAAACCATGGGATAAAGACGCATGGGAAATTCCACGGGAATCAATTAAATTAGTGAAGAAGCTTGGAGCTGGTCAGTTTGGAGAAGTCTGGATGGGTAAGTTCATTCCTTTGGGAAGCGTATTTAAATCTGCCAAAAGAAGTGTCATTTCAGAGTCATCTAGAATAATAGTGGACATGAACCTGGTCCGATAATCTTGTAAAACAGCACAGTCAGGCCCAGAATATATCTTCTTTACAAAAGAAATCCTTTGGTGTCTTTTAAAGGAAAAAAGAATAATGAATAAGGACTCTAATTTAGAGGGTTGAAGACAACAGTGGGGTTTTTTGGTTGTGTTTTGGGGGAAGGAGAAGGTTATATTTAGATGTGACTCCTGATTCTCAAAATCAGTGGTGACCTCAGAACTTTGTTTCAAATCAGAAAGTGGTAAAGAAACTAAAATAGAAAGAAATCATGTCTTTTAGTGAATAATGCATAAAGTTTTCATTATCTCTTGGTAAAGAAGAGGCTGCAGTGTAATGCATGGCACTGCCACACTGGGTGAAAAAAGGGGACACTTCATCCAAGATTCTTGCCTGCCAGAAAGCTGGTGAGAAAGTAGGTGACTTATGTAGTAAGAAAATTAGAGATTGATCGCTCTCTGCCTTGAGCTATCATGCAGGTCCCCAGTAATGAAAGTGTCATGAGATTTACAAGTTGTAAATGTTAAAATGATAGCATTAATTATTATAAACATAATTAGCTTAGCTTATAAACAACCTTATTTTCTCAGCCTCAGTGATTTCCTGTGGCAAGGGGCTATGACCATTCTCTAACCACATTCTGCAAAAATATTTGATCCCCTTGCTTTTGAAATGCTGTCTATTCAGGGCTCTGAGTAGTCTTTTGGTTTCCATGTTGCATGTTCTGTGTGCTATTCGCTACTTCCATGCTTGTTACTGTTTACCATCTTATTTGAGATGAACTATAACTTTCTCCCAAAGCCTTGATTATGGTGTTTTTTTGGGCCAGAATATTGTCTCAGCCCTTTACTGAATCTCCTTTTAGGAGGATATATTTAAATAGTAAAAATTTTTTTATTATAATAATGGAACATTTTTGTTTCGGTTGGGGTTTTTGTTGGGTTTTTGTTGGGTTTTTGTTGTTGATTTTAAACAAGATTCTATAGACAGGGCAGTTCTGAACAACTTAATAGCCTATCCCAAAACTTATTAGAGGGTGTAAAGCTCTGAAGGGGTCTCTGGTGCTGCTTGGGAGTGTGGCAGGCTAACAGGGATGTCTTTGCTTTCAAGAGATGCTCTCATTTAGAAAAGTAAAGTTCAGAGGGGTGTTGTTTGAGTGGCAAATTCCACACACAACTGCAGAAAGCTCTAATCAGTCCTAGGTGCAGCCTTTTGATATAAATAATGTAAAAAAATGCAAATAATGCATCTCTATAATATAGCCAAATTCAATCTTTTATCTGCCTTCGTGAGAAAAGACTTAAGAAACCCTCTGGCTGTGATATACATGAGTGACAATTCACACACTAGTTAAGACAAGCGTCAGCCATTGTGCAGGTTTTTTTCTGTCTAATAAACCAAGAAAATGTTTAACTGACACTGAAACACAATGAAAGACTTGGTGGCAGAAGTTAATGGTAGATCGTTTCGGGAAGTGACTACTTCTGCACACGCACACACAAAGGCATATAAGTTTAAAAGGCTGGTTCTGGTTCAAGATGTTTCCTCTTGTTTGTGTCATTGCTCCGACATCTAAATTGGGCCTAACCCCTGCGTCTGGATTGCTGGGCTGTGAGAAAAACTAATGTACTGTGAAAGAGATGGCAGTGTTTCCTCTTCTCCCCTTGCTTTCTGAAGCGAGAGCAGCTGATTTGCATGGCACAGGTCCCCTCTCATCAGGAGCCTGGTTCATCTCAGAACCAAGGAAGCTCAAGCTGGAAAAGACCTATCGGGTCAGAAAACACTCCGTGTTGTAGTGATCAACCAGGGGCAGCAGGAGGTGTGTGGAGGTGCTGAGAAATAACCTCCTCATTACATTCTCCTGATTAGAGATCCAGTTGATACGTCTCTCCTCCTATAGAACAACATGATTTTTCAGCCATAGCATGAATGAGAGAGAAATAGTGTTCCGTGCTTTAATTACTAAATAGATTTCTTCTTGATAAAGGGTACTTAGAATGGTGGTTTCAAAAGTAACAGTGTCCCTTTCAGAGGGACTGGGCTCCCCAGTAAAGAGAGATACAGAGCTACTGGAGAGAGACCAGCAAAGGGCCACAAGGATGATGAAGGGACTGGAGCATCTCTGCTGTGAGAGAAGATTGAGAGCTGGGACTGTTCAGCCTGGAGAAGAGAAGGCTCAAGGGGATCTTATCAATGTATATAAATACCGGAAGGTAGAATGCAAAGTGGATGGACCCAGGCTCTTCTCAGCAGTGCCCAGTGACAGGACCAGAGGCAATGAGCACAAACTGAAGCACAGGAGGTTCTCTCTGAACATCAGAAAACCCATTCTCACTGTGTGAGTGACCAAGCGCTGGCACAGGTTGCCCAGAGAGTTCATGGAGTCTCCGCCATGGGAGATAGTCAAAAGCCAACAGGACACGTTCCTGTGCAACCTGCTCTGGGTGGACCAGCTTTGGCAGGGGGTTGGACTAGATGATCTCCAGAGGTCCCTTCCAATCCCATATCATTCTGTGATTCTGTGGAGATCTGGTCAGAAATGGTAGGCCTATCCTCATTGTCTGTTATAAATCCATGTCCCAACTTGGCCAATGCAAGAATTTGGTGGCAACCCAGCTGTTCAGGTTACTCCTCTGTCAAAATAACCATAATCAACTCCAAAATAAATGCCTGAAATGCTAATAATTTATGGAGGATTCTATTCTAAGATACAGAGAAGAACATGGCTCTCTCTGTAAGACATCATGACATTCCTCAGACGTGCGTACTGTTGCTTGCATCACGTTCCATTTTTAACAGAAGCATTAACTGTACAGAGATTTGCTTCCTGCCACGGTATGAAAGTGTTTTTGACCGTGGAGTTCAGTGCATCTGGGCAGCTTCTTTAGTGATGTGATGAACCAGAGTAGCACTGCAAGAGCAGGGTCTATGTTTTATGCATTTTTGTTTCTGGTGTGCACTGATATGAAGTGAACCATGATGCTCTGGGGTATTAATAATCCATGAAAGGAAATCTCAGGCAGGGCTAAGAGAAAAGTTAACAAGCCAAATGGAGCCATTACGGTGTATTTTATTAATGAGGCACATTCTGCTTGCATCTCGGGTGTAAAAAATCCTTTCATCGGGCAACTCCCAAATTAGAATATATGTAATACACGTTTTGGAGGTATATTTTCTTATGCAGCTGTTACAAAAATCAAAGACTTCTAAAATGAACCAAGAAAACTTGCCAGCACATCTCAGCAGTATCCCAAATGCTTTTTTACAGTACGTACATGAGCTGAATGTCAGTTGCAAAGAATCTGATTTTTATGTCAGGTGTTCTAGATGTCGATGATCCCAAGGGTCTCTTCCAACCTAGACGATTCTATGATTCTACGTAAGCAAGAACTTCATTGCTTACCTGTGTTTTTTAATTCATGTTTAGGCAGCAAACTGACCATATGGTCATTCATATCACGTGGAAAGGACTACGGTGACCCAGCGAGTGCTGAGTTTATACCCAGAGCCAGGTTCTGTTCAGCCAAGGCAGATGTTAGCGAAGGGTTGGGAGCCCCAGGTGCTGTAGGAAGCGAAGGTGATGCAGTGCTGTGACCACGGCTTCCCACAGCTCCCAGCACGTCACTGGAGTCCCTCTGTGATGCAGATCGAACGTGAGATTTGGTGTCACTTGCTGAAACACTTGGAGGTCACCAGTTTTCCCTCCGTCTGTACAAAAGCTGCAGTTTCTTACCTGTGCAGTAAGAGAGCCCCCGAAAAGCAGGTATATCTTTGTGGAAACCAGCACAGAGGTTCTTATGGTAATCGTAAGTGACCTGCCATGGGAACTAGGACTCTGTTCAGATGGAGTAGTACAGATACATACCAAAAGGATGCTGCTTCCTCCAGGTCTGTCCAGCCTCATATCCTAATATAATCCTCCCCTCCAGGGGTACAATGTTCTTATTCTGCTCCTTCAGACTCACAGATGATGGGATTTTTCTCCCAGGTGGTGAGGTGGCATCGGCTTAGCTAAAGGGGTAGGGACTCATGTGCTGTGAGGGTTCAGTTCTGGCGTGGTCCTCAGCCCACACAACAATCTAACACTCATTTTGCTTGTAACAGGTGAGGGAAAGAGTTGACAAATTCCAGTTATGCCAGACTGTCAAGGGTGCATTTTTCACAGAGGCCATTGTGTGTGCTCACAGAGTTCACGACAACCTTTCCTCAGTGTTTGGTGCCCCATCCCTCCCTGAACTTGATAGACATTGGGATCAAATCTTTCGACTGCTCTCAGTACCACCAGAACGTCAGGCTGGACTTTTTTCCTCGCAAAAAAGGTTCATATTGCTCAGGTGTTGTAGTAACATCAAATTTCTGCAAGTAGAACCCTGGTCTGGTGGATCTCTGTTGAACATTAGGAAAGAATTTTTCACCGAAAGAGTGATAGGGCATTGGAACAGGCTGCCCAGGGAGGTGGTGGAGTCACCATCCCTGGCTGTGTTTAAGGGCCGTTTAGATGCAGTGCTAAGGGACATGGTGTAGGAGAGGACTTAGTAGAGTAGGGTAGATGGTTGGACTCAATGATCCCAAGGGTCTCTTCCAACCTAGACGATTCTATGATTCTATAGCTAATGTTAAGTGGGTTGGTCACGATTGCTTCACAGAAATAGTGATGTTAATTAGTATGTTCAGTACAGTATTCAACAAATACAGAGTAGTACTAGTGCTATGCTTTAAGGTATATGATGGAATAGTAGAAATGATACAAATTAGCTTTCTTCTTAAGCCGAAAGAGATGTATTTAACATCTCTCTGGTGGGTATAAATTGTGTACTTGAGCTTTGACAGCATTACCACCAGAAGGTCAGGGTGGACTTTTTTCCCCGCAAAAAAAGGTCCATATCGCTCAGGTGTTGTAGTAACGTCAAATTTCTGCAAGTAGAGCCCTGGTCTGGTGGATCTCTGTAGAGAATGTAAAATACTGTTACGTAGCTAATGTTAAGTGGGTTGGTCACGATTGCTTCACAGAAATAGTGCTGTTAATTAGTATGTTCAGTACAGTATTCAACAAATACAGAGTAGTACTAGTGCTATGCTTTAAGGTATATGATGGAATAGTAGAAAAAATACAAATTAGCTTTCTTCTTAAGCAAAAAGAGATGTATTTAACATCTCTCTGGTGGGTATAAATTGTGTACTTGAGCTTTGACAGCAGAATTTGAGCTTCAGTTGTCATTTCTTATTATTAGATCATCCAGATGCATATCGTTGTTATGCTTTGACCTGACCATGGTTGGAAAAATATATTTAATAATCATGGTTGTGAGTAATTTGTGACAGCTACAGTGGCTTTTCTCAGGTGATGATCCTTCTTCGAGAAAGGTGATGGAAGACGCAGTGGTTTGAGCAAATACTTTGGATCCAGAAATTAGTTCCTTGCTTTGCCACTGATTTCTTATGTTAAGATCATAAATAGTATAAGGAAATTGTGGACTCCAGTTTAGAGGTGTAGCCATTGTGGTAATACTCTCTGGATTGCTGCTGAATAAGGAAATGAGGCAATTTCATTGAGTCACTAAAGTTTTACTTTGTCTGAGAAATATGTTTTCGATGTTGAAATGGGTACGGTGGGGGACAAAAGGCTGGGGACTGATGTTGCTGAAGCATTCTGTGCATCTGAAATGGTCAGAAGAAGTTGTATTTCTACACACACGCACCTTCCTCTTTCTCTCCCCCCTTTCTTTTTCAAATTAAATTACTTCCCAATATAAACTTTAGAATCAGTGCTTGCTATTGGTGGTTTTTTTTTAATTATTTTAACATTTATTTAATGTTTGCAAACCATCAAAGCAGGTAATAATTTACTGCTTTTCGCTGATAGTTGCTTTTTATATAATTAGAGTATTGCATTAGAAGGTTTGATAATGAGAGAAATGAAACATCTACAGTCTCTTCCAGTCTTGGCACGGGCCATGTGATAAGGAGTTATCACGTTTTACATCTTGCCCTGAGGACCGCAGTCCTGGCAGCGTATCGGTGTCACGAGAACGCTCATTCCATTGGGCTTTCCCATAATGCTGTGAGTGTTACAGACAAGGATTATCAGCATGAGGCTGGCATGCATAAAATGATTATAATCACGGTAATTAGAGATGCTCCAGAACCTTGAAAGCACTCCATGGACTCTAATAGAGTCTGAGACGATTTATGTGGACATTCATTAAAACATCTCCTGACAGCTTGAATAGTTAATGGACTACCTGTAAATGGAAACTTGGTGTGAAGTGAGATAATTTGCTTTCCTTATATATATATATATATATTTTTATTTTTTTTTCAGATAATTGATTACTAAAAAAAGGGAAGGGATTATTTTTCGCCGCAATGCCATATCAGTTGCAAAACAAAAAGGAATTTTTGTGTAAATATTTGTGCTCCAGCTGGCACTGGCTCTCAGACTCTTAGCTATTACTGGAATCCAACCTCACCTGCTTTACAAATTCCTGGTGGTCGGGGCGCCGTGTGGCACAATGACTATCGTATTCCCTCCTTTTAGGTTACTATCACAATAGTACCAAAGTGGCTGTGAAGACTCTGAAGCCCGGGACGATGTCTGTGCAAGCCTTCCTGGAGGAAGCCAACCTCATGAAAACGCTTCAGCACGATAAGCTCGTGAGGCTTTATGCTGTCGTGACCAAAGAAGAACCTATTTATATTATAACGGAATTCATGGCTAAAGGTGAGAACCATATTGGATCTGCAAGCAAGGTTTTAGTAAACTCTTCTCATAGATCAGTCCCCCTTCCTTATAAAGGAAGGAATAAAAAAGAAAAAAAGGAAAATTTGGGATTTTAGTGTCATTCTTTTGAATGCTCTGATATAACATGAAGGAGCACTTACCCTAGAGAAGGGATGAGGCCTTAATTTTATGATTCATTGCTGCAATTGTGAAATAAACTATTTTTACAGTTTTCTTAAATGTAGCAATTTTAATTGGTTCATGCAGAACGTAACACCCCAAATAGCTCTGGTTCCTTTGGGCTCCCTGACCTAACTTTTGTGTCTGGTGTCATAGCAAGGCAATTAAAACAAACCTGAGAAATTGCCTTATGAATTGATAAATACATGTATAATTGATAAATACGTGTGTAATTGATAAATACATGTGTAGTAAGGTGAGTGATGAGTGGTCCTGCAAGGATGCCTGTACAATTAGAAAAGGATGACCTTTATTAGAGCATCACTACACAAAATAAGTGAGGTTTCCTTCTCGAAGGAGCACTTACCCTAGAGAAGGGATGAGGCCTTAATTTTATGATTCATTGCTGCAATTGTGAAATAAACTGTTTTTACAGTTTTCTTAAATGTAGAAATTGTAATTGTTTCATGCAGAATGTAACACCCCAAATAGCTCTGGTTCCTTTGGGCTCCCTGACCTAACTTTTGTGTCTGGTGTCATAGCAAGGCAATTAAAACAAACCTGAGAAATTGCCTTATGAATTGATAAATACATGTATAATTGATAAATACGTGTGTAATTGATAAATACATGTGTAGTAAGGTGAGTGATGAGTGGTCGTGCCAAGGATGGCTGCATGACTAGAAAAGGATGACCTTTATTAGAGCATCACCACGCAAAATAAGTGAGGTTTCCTTCTCAGATTGTCTCGGGTGGCAGTTTTTCTTGTTTTGTTCTGTTTGCAAGCAATTCTGCTGATGACTTCATAAATAAGGGTTGAGCCACTTATTCTTTAAGACTTGAGAAGGACTGATACGTGTGGTTCTCCTAGACAGCTTTCCTGATATTCCAGAGACTGGGGTACTTACCAAACTCAAACTCAACACTGAACTAGGGCATGGTCTGATGGGACTTTTCTACACCCTGGAAAATAGCAAAACTTGGATACCTGACGTGCTGAGTTGGATGTTACCTTTGATAAATCATGTAAAGAGACTGCCTCACTGGAGTCAACTTGAAAATACAGCAAAACGCTTCACTGCAAAAATTTTGTGATCCAGAAAATAAAAGCATGACCTTTGTTTTGGTAATCAGCTTCAGAGTCAACTTGAAAATACAGCAAAATGCTTCACTGCAAAAATTTTGTGATCCAGAAAATAAAGGATAATTGATAAATACGTGTGTAATTGATAAATACATGTGTAGTAAGGTGAGTGATGAGTGGTCCTGCAAGGATGCCTGTACAATTAGAAAAGGATGACCTTTATTAGAGCATCACTACACAAAATAAGTGAGGTTTCCTTCTCAGATTGTCTCGGGTGGCAGTTTTTCTTGTTTTGTTGTGTTTGCAAGCAATTCTGCTGATGACTTCATAAATAAGGGTTGAGCCACTTATTCTTTAAGACTTGAGAAGGACGGATACGTGTGGTTCTCCTAGACAGCTTTCCTGATATTCCAGAGACTGGGGTACTTACCAAACGCAACACTGAACTAGGGCACGGTCTGATGGGACTTTTCTATGCCCAGGAAAATGGGAAAAACTTGGATACCCAATGTTTTGAGTTGGATGTTACCGTTGCTAAATCATGTAAAGAGACTGCCTCACTGGAGTCAACTTGAAAATACAGCAAAATGCTTCACTGCAAAAATTTTGTGATCCAGAAAATAAAGGCGTGACCTTTATTTTGGCAATCAGCTTCACTGACTTAATTTTCCTCTGTTGTCACAGGAAGCTTGCTGGATTTTCTGAAGAGTGATGAAGGAAGTAAATTGTTGCTCCCAAAGTTAATCGACTTCTCTGCACAGGTAAATTTTAAGAAATATGCTGAAAATTAATGGTGTTTATGGTCTGAAATTCGTGCTGGGCAACTTTATCCTAAGGTGTTTGTGGGTTTTTTTCTTTAAAAAAATAATTTAATTTTCAAATAAGTTTTGGTCTGAGTAAATAAGGGTACTGGAAAGCATGACCTTTGTTTTGGTAATCAGCTTCACTGACTTAATTTTTCTCTGTTGTCACAGGAAGCTTGCTGGATTTTCTGAAGAGTGATGAAGGAAGTAAATTGTTGCTCCCAAAGTTAATCGACTTCTCTGCACAGGTAAATTTTAAGAAATATGCTGAAAATTAATGGTGTTTATGGTCTGAAATTCGTGCTGGGCAACTTTATCCTAAGGTGTTTGTGGGTTTTTTTCTTTAAAAAAATAATTTAATTTTCAAATAAGTTTTGGTCTGAGTAAATAAGGGTACTGGAAAGGAGGGAATAGATAAAAGAGGTTTCAAGGGGAGTGTGTGAAATTAGGCGTAACTCTTCGTTACTGCAGTGGTTTGCAGCCACTGTCCTTTGTGGAGAGGCTGCTCTCAGCTCAGGCAGCTCTGAGTGGAAAGTCCAAGTCTGTGAGTTTGTGCCTGTGAGATTCCTTCAGCGTTAAATGTGTCGCTTTTACTTCTTAAATTAGGTCAATCGGTCAAACTTTTCTTAACTTCAAGGGCCTATTGTTGGTTTCAAATTCTTAGGTAAATTACTGTGAAATAAATGAAATCTAATCAAATGATGTCTCAGGTACCAGTATCTGATTCATCCCATGTCATAAATGGAATCTGTGGAGAGTGGCCCCGGGGTGATTTGTGTGTGGAAGCCTCAGTCCAAGGTGCCTGGAGCCCAGCGCTTCGCTTCAGACAGTTGCCAGCATTAGATGTCCAGGGAGGCATATAGAGAAAGATTCCTTCAGCGTTAAATGTGTCGCTTTTACTTCTTAAATTAGGTCAATCGGTCAAACTTTTCTTAACTTCAAGGGCCTATTGTTGGTTTCAAATTCTTAGGTAAATTACTGTGAAATAAATGAAATCTAATCAAATGATGTCTCAGGTACCAGTATCTGATTCATCCCATGTCATAAATGGAATCTGTGGAGAGTGGCCCCGGGGTGATTTGTGTGTGGAAGCCTCAGTCCAAGGTGCCTGGAGCCCAGCGCTTCGCTTCAGACAGTTGCCAGCATTAGATGTCCAGGGAGGCATATAGAGAATAGAGTAAAAATGGTGCTTTTGCAAGCTGCAATTCATGTTACTAATAGGTAACGAAGGCATTTTTAATGGATTATTGTTTCATCCACCTTTCAGGGTTTTCAATATGCATCAGAATTTGCAGACTGTTGTAGTCTATTGAACTAACTTATTACAATTCACGAGGAAAGAGGAGAAAGCCTTAAAAACACGTAATGAAATGTTAGTGATTTATACCAGAGATTCACCATAAGAATATTATATAACTGTTTTTTATAACTATTGCTATATAAATAAATATAAGTTTCGATATTAGGAAACATTTACTTACTAGGGAGGTGGTCAAACACTGGAACAGGCTTCCTAGAGATGTGGTCGATGCCCCAATCTTGTCAGTGTTTAAGAGACATTTGGACAATGCTCTTACCAACATGTTTTAACTTTTGGTTAAAGTGGCCTGAAGTGGTCAAGCAGTTGAACAAGATGATTGTTGGAGGTCTTTTCCAACTGGAACTATTTACATGCTTTAACTTTTGGTTAAAGTGGCCTGAAGTGGTCAAGCAGTTGAACAAGATGATTGTTGGAGGTCTTTTCCAACTGGAACTATTCTCTTACCAACATGTTTTAACTTTTGGTTAAAGTGGCCTGAAGTGGAATGGATTATTGTTTCATCCACCTTTCAGGGTTTTCAATATGCATCAGAATTTGCAGACTGTTGTAGTCTATTGAACTAACTTATTACAATTCACGAGGAAAGAGGAGAAAGCCTTAAAAACACGTAATGAAATGTTAGTGATTTATACCAGAGATTCACCATAAGAATATTATATAACTGTTTTTTATAACTATTGCTATATAAATAAATATAAGTTTCGATATTAGGAAACATTTACTTACTAGGGAGGTGGTCAAACACTGGAACAGGCTTCCTAGAGATGTGGTCGATGCCCCAATCTTGTCAGTGTTTAAGAGACATTTGGACAATGCTCTTACCAACATGTTTTAACTTTTGGTTAAAGTGGCCTGAAGTGGTCAAGCAGTTGAACAAGATGATTGTTGGAGGTCTTTTCCAACTGGAACTATTCTATTCTATGGTATATTATATATCGCATATTGCTATAGAGATGTTCAATATATCAAATAAAGGTTTTTATATAACATAGATCCAATGCAGGAGATGTTTTTGCTATAATTGCTCAACCACCCCAGGGAGGTGGTGGAGTCACCATCCCTGGCTGTGTTTAAGGGACGTTTAGATGGGGTACTGAGGGACATGGTGTAGGGGAGGACTTTGTAGAGTAGGGTAGACGGTTGGACTCAATGATCCCAAGGGTCTCTTCCAACCTGAATGATTCTATGAATTATTGGTCCATTGTAGCTATAGGCTAAGTCTTCTGAGCTCTTTTGGTAACTTGTCCTTGAGAATTTAGTGGGGCAAAAGCTTTGTAGATGTGGAAAACCTGCTGGATCCCAGGTCACGGTCTGGAGAGATGGGTAACAGTGGGCAGAAAAAAAAATAATTGTAGCTTTGAAAATAGTGTGTAAAATTCAAGGGAGAGAAGAACATCTGTCAGCAGTGACAGTGGACTCGGGATGTGGAGAGGAAAGCACGTGTGCTTTTACAGCAGACCCTTTTATTGAGGTTTGAGATGTTGAATTCATTTAAAATGAATTTTGTGTTTTCAGACATTTAAGGCTTAAAAGCTTAATGAGCTAGAGAGCAACTCTAAATGTGTACAACTCGGGTAAATCACTTGTGAGATGACAGGGGTCAGCGACTGTCAGTTACAAAGCTTTGAAGGTCGGGTCATTGGAAATGGGTGTCACTTGTCACCCCAATCTGACAACAGCCTCTCAGAGCCGGTTCCTGCACAAGAGTTTGGAATAGAGAGACCGGGATGTTTCTTATGGGAAGAATTTGTAGGTTTTTTGAGCACACTTGTGAAGAGCCCTCAATGCCACCGGGTAGTAACAGGACAGTGTGGAATAGACTTGCAGGCTGCGTGTGGTTCTCAGACCAGAGGTTTCCCTCCAACCAACACAGATGTTCCACTGGTCTTCTCCAGCTCTGACAGTCTGAATGTTAATTGGTGGGTCTTTAGGGTAAAAGAGAGACAAAAACATTTTCAAACTCTGTTGGCCTACAGCTAAGGTGCTGGTTATTTTACTGCAGACCCGCGGATTACACTTTTCCAGAGCGTAGGCTGTGTGTAAGGGAGAACATAAAATGTGTCTAGTATTTTTGGTATGACTCACGTTTGTACAAATGGAACACTAATTTATTCTTACAACAGTGATGTTAACCTCTCTGTACAGCCTAAAGGGAAAGAAATTTGGAGAACTCTTTCAGAAGAGGTTAAAAAAAAAACCTGCAGGTAGTTGAACATGAGCCCCCAGGTGAAGGCCGTTTTCCAAGTGGTGTTGAAGAGGGCTGGGGGCTGGTGTTTCCATTGCCAGATTGCTCCTGGTGCTCCACTCACTAATTTCGTAATGCCTTTCAAAGAAATCTGCCTTTATAAGGGGTGAAACATGCTGATTCTGCAAAAAGAAAAGTAAGGACTGCTCACCCAGGTGAAAGAAACACCTTTTAAAAAGATAGCATTTTTCAAGCAGGTTAAAAAATGTACTCCTACTCTGCTGTACTGATTTTGCTGTTTTAGTGCCTTAAATGAAAAGAGGATAGATTTAGACTAGATATAAGATAGAAATTTTTTATGATGAGGGTTGTAAAACAGTGGAACAGGTTGCCCAGAGAGGTGGTAGATGCCCCATCCCTAGAAATGTCCAAGGACAGGTCGGACGGGGCTCTGAGCAACCTGATCTAGTTGAAGATGTCCCTGCTCGCTGCAGGGTGGTTGGACTAGATGGCCTTTAAAGGTCCCTTCCAACCCAAACCATTCTATAATTGGGTTATTCTACTTAGTTACACTTACATCTGGTGACTTCTTTAGTGTACTGCTGCAGATTCAGAATTTTTAATGTTTTTTTTTTTGCTGTATTAACAATCACAGTTTATGAAATTAGGCTTGTGGAAAACACGGCAAGAAAATGTTTGCTAGGAAGGTGGTCCAGCTCAATTTCTAAAGCAATCTGCCCTCTGAAAGAGCTGAAGTTTCTCTTTTGTGTTTTAATCAGTGTGTATGAGTGTTAGTTTTGCCCTGGCAAAGATTATTTTGGCCTCTAGAGATGAATGCTGGAAGTCTCCGAAGGGAGTGTGTTTCTCAGGAAGCTGAGTTTTGCAAACGTACCTTCAAGCACATGCCACCTGCTTCAGTACAGAGCAGAGCTTCGCCATCTCTCGTAGAAGTTGGCAGAATTGTCCATATGTTGGACATGCCAGAAACAACCATGAGGCAAAATCTGAGCCCGTTTCCTTGCCTGCGTGACCACTGCTGGTGGTGGCTGGGCCAGCAGCACGGCAACCTCACCGGCTGGTCTCACAACCACTGAACGTCTGGCAAGCGGTTCCCCTGGTTCCCCTTCCTGCCCATCAGCTCAGCCAGTGGGCACGGGGAACCCAAAGGTGCTGTTGGTTCCCAGATATGAGTTGGAAGGTAAGTGAATTTCATAGTTTTGTCAACGAGCTGTACTGCCAAATCTTGCCAATGCAGCAGGGCAAAACAGTCCTCATGGACATCGCCCATCTTCCCTTACCGACTGCAGGCAACAGCCTGGCTCACACAATCACAGAATCACAGAATTACATGGGGTTGGAAGGGACCTCTGGAGAACATCTCGTCCAACCCCCCTGCCAGAGCAGGTCCTCCTAGAGCAGGTTGCACAGGAACGTGTCCAGGCGGGTTTTGAA